TGAGTTCTGGAAATCATTTTCCAAGTTTTCAGTGTTTGGATGTGCCTGGAAAATCAAGTCAACGGAAATCATTTTCCGTTGACTTTGGAAAATAGGCTTGTTTTGGAGGAAAATGACTTCCCCTTTTTTTGGGGGGAAGTCATTTTCCAACTTTTACACCAACATCACACCACCACCAACATCATCAACACCATACCACCATCACCACCACTATTGCCGCCGCCACCACCACTATACCCCCGCCACCATCACACCACCACCACAACCACCACCAACACCGCAACCACTACCACCACCACTACCGCCACCATCGCTGCCGCCACCACCACCACATACCACCGCCACCACACCACCACCTTCACACCACCGCCGCCGCCCCCACCACCACCATACCACCGCAACCACTGTCGCCGCCACCACTACCACCATACCACCGCCGCCCCCATCACCATCATACCACCGCAACCACCGCCACCATACCACCGCAACCACCACCACCACACCACCTCCACCACACCACCACCTTCACACCACCGCCGCCGCAACCACCACCACCATACCACTGCAACCACCGTCGTCGCCACCACTACCACCATACCACCGTCGCCGCCATCACCACCATACCACCGCAACCACCGCAACCACCGTCGCCGCCACCACCACCACCACCACCATACCACTACAACCACCGTCGCCGTTACCACCGCCGCCACCACCGTCGCCGCTACCACCGCCGCCACCACCATACCACCACAACCACCATCGCCGCCACCACTACCACCACACCACCACCACCGCCACCACCACCACACCACCGCCATCACACCGCCGCCGCCGCCGCCGCCACCACCACCACCATACCACCGCAACCACCGCCGCCACCACCACTACCATACCACCGCAACCACCGTCGCCGCCACCACCACCACCACCACCGCAACCACACGACCACTGCCACCACCGTCATACTACCACCACCATCACACCAACACCACTACCGCCGTCGCCGCCACCACTAGCATACTACCGCAACCACCGTTGCCGCTACCACCACCATACCACCGCAACCACCGCCACCACCATCACACCGCCGCCGCCGCCACCACCACAACCATACCACCGCAACCACCACCGCCACCACACCACCACCGTCATACCACCACCAATTATTATTATTATTATTATTATTATTATTATTATTATTATTATTATTATTATTATTATTATTATTATTATTATTATTATATAACGAATAACACCACTACCACTACACCACCACCATAATATTTTTGATATATTATTAATTTTTTTTTTGAAAAACTTAGCTATTTTTTATTATATTTAAAATTAATATTATATTATTATATATTATTATACATGTTGTAATATTCTAAATAAAATAATTAAAATGTTTAATTATACAATTCTACTCATTTTCCAGAAAATGAACCAAACACAGAAAAAACAGTTTTCCATAATGCAACCAAACACTGGAAAGGAAAATGTTTTCCGAAAAATGACTCATTTTCCAGAAGTCATTTTCCTGCTTTCCAAACGGACCCTTAGATATATATATATATATATATATATATATATATATATATATATATATATATATATATATATATATATATATATATATATATGCTCTTAGAAACTCCTTTCCAAATAATTTTTTTTGACTAAATAAAGAAAAAAAATATTTGTTCAATCTGTGCCAAAAATTCAATACAATGTATTGAATATTCAACTTTTGTGGCTAAAGAAATCTTCGCAGTAACTGATGTAATCAAACATTTGTATCACTACAAATCAGTATGATATCAATTAGTACCTTAAAAAAATCTCTAAGAATTTATCCTCAGAAAACTGTTCTTATTTCGATCTATATATAGAATTTATAGAGGAATACAAAATGAGCAGTGGATTCTCGACGTACTTTTCAATTCGCTCCAAAATGACACCGCCTTTCAATCCTCTACTGCGGCGGCGCCACCTCTTTGTGGCGTTGCTACTGCTATCATGCTCGGAGACGGCACTGTCTGCTCGGCGGTGCGCCGACTGCGGCTCTTCTCCGGTGCCTTACCCTCTCAGCACCGGCCCGGATTGCGGCGATCCCTCGTACAAGGTCCGCTGCAACAATGGCGCGCTGGTGTTCGATACGCTCAACAACACATATCCGATCACCTCCGTTAGCCCGGAGTCGCAGCGCCTGACGATCGAGCCGTCGCCGCTTATTAATCCCGACGCCTGCGTCACGGCGGACATCTCCACCGGCGGCATCCAGCTCAACTCCTCGCTGCCGTTCAACATCACCAGCAGCAACACCATTCTGTACCTTAACTGTACGGAATCTCTGCTGGAATCGCCCCTCAACTGCACCTCCTCCAGCCTCTGCCACGCCTACATCGATGGTAGCAGTCTGGGCGCGTGCTCCGACGCTCCGATCTGCTGCAGTTTCCGAGCCGGCGGGTCGACGACGGCCCACAGGCTGCGCGTGAGGAGCGAGGGTTGTAGCGCGTACCGGAGCTTTGTGAACCTGGATGAGTCTTTGCCGGTAAGGCGGTGGCCACAACCGGCACTGGAGTTTCAGTGGGTGTCGCCGCCGGAGCCTCTGTGTCGCTCCCAATCAGATTGTGATTCCGATTCGAGTTGTGATAGCAGCGTCGGCAGATGTTTGTGTAACTCAGGGTTACACTGGGACGCCATTGTTGGATCCTGTGTTTGATCGCATTAAGATTCAATCTTTTACATAGTAAAGTTCCTTAACTTAATAATAATAATAATCTCCATCTCCATTTTTTACAAGTAAATTATTGTAATGGTAGGCTGGTAGCCTTGCTTAAGAGTTTAATTTTGTCATGTCAAAATTAATTTCGGTATACAATTGAGTGAACTATTTTGTCATTTTGAACCTAATTGTATAATTTCGGATTGTTCAAAGACCCAATTGCAACTGACATGGTTGGTGTGGTGGTTCAGCACCTTATCCCTTAAGTGTGAGGTTAGGAGTTTGATTCCTTTCTATGTGAATGGTGCAAACCATTTAGTCAGTCCCCTATTGCTTAGTGCACGAAAAGTGACATTTTACACGAATATTTATATACAAAATCAACCACCAAATTTTGGATATTAATTTCATTTTCAATTTCAATTTTGATCATATGACTATAGGGGCACTCCGGTTAAATTGCCGGCCAAATTTCGCCGGAAAAACTTAATCATTCATTTAGTCTATAATCTGAGGGGCAAAATTGTCTTTTTAAGTCTGGTAAAATTGTCTTTTTTCTGGCGAAATTTGGCCGGATTGACCAAAATTGACAAAAGTTACATACTCAAGATACTAAATTGACACTTTTGAAAGTCAGGTGCTAAAATTAACAAAGTCCTTATAGTCATATGACCAAAATTGAAATTTTCTCATAGAGTTAATTCCATTTTTAGTTTTAGGATTTATAGGTATGTCAATCCACTTATAGTCCTTTTTTATTAGAACATCCTCATTGGTCTTAGTATTATTGTGGCATGACCATTTTTGGTCCTCCGTCAAGAAAATTATTGAAATGTCGTTAAATACAAGGACATTCCGATCTTTTTTATACCAAGTAGGTAACCCACTATATTTTTATGTTTATTTTTTTGAAAAAAAAAATTAAAATTGAAGACTGAAATGCTCTTGTATTTCATGAAATTTAAACTATTTTGATGATGGAGGACAAAAAATGATCATGCCACAATAATATTAGGATCAAAAGTGAATGTTTTGAAAAAAAGGGACTAAAAGTGAAATGACACCTATTAAATCTAGGACCAAAATTGGAATTAACACATTAAAAATAATACATGAATTCTAGAAACATAATTAACATGTATAGAAGTTGTGGGATTAGATTTACACTACCACCCCCTCCACGTGAGTGAGAGAGAGCATTTATGGTATATAATTCAAACTTTTTCAAAAAGGAAATTGTATATATACTAGTGTAAACACACATCCATTTTACAGTGTAGGACAAAGGTTCGTTCAAATTAAAGCTTTCTCAATTCCATTTTTCCTATTCAAATCGGTACACTTTGAAAATTAATTTCTCATTCACCCATTATTATCTATTTTATGTGTACAATATATCATATTAAACCTCTTACTTAGGAGAATCCGAATCCACTTTTACCTGACCCAAATTAAAAGTGAACCCACTGAAAATTATACAACAAAATGGTCATTTTAAATGTCGTTTTAAGTTAATTTTTTCAATATATGTGATTTTATACTTGGGTATGTATCCATATCACCTACTTCTTTAATTTCCTAATAGCTCTCCATATCACCTACTTCTTTAATTTCCTAATAGCTCTCTAGCTTGGTTGTTGAAGTAGTTTGGATAGAGTTGGGTTGTTGTATTGTACTATTGTTCTAATGGATCTAGCCTCTAGTTGTGTCATACCAAAACCATTCCCTTAATTTTAACTTTCTAGGTTGCAAGTCAGGATTGTTGGCACATATATACATCAACGTAGGATTGAAGACAATTCTACAATCTTTTGCAAAATCAAGAAACGCGTGATGAGGCCGGCATGGGTAGCTCAACTGGTTATAAGGGTGAAAGTTGAAAAGAATGATCAGGAATCGAGTCTTACCAACAGCAGTGTGGGAGCAACCGGAGATCTAACCCTTAGGGCAGGGTTGGGGTTCAACCTTTTGAAAAGAAGAAACGCTCCTTGTGCGCAATAAGCAAAGGTCTAGCCCTTAAGGTAGGGTTAGTTGTGGTTCAACCTTTTGAAAAGAAGAAATGCATAAAGGACTAATAAGATAATAACACTTTGAGTATAATAAGAAATGCAACCGTTTGAGTATAATAACACTTACGTTCACACAAACGTATCCTAATTAGTAGTTAGTAGCAAGACATGATCCAAGTTGTTACTAAGCTCAAGTTATTAGAAGCATGCATGTTAATAAGATTGAAAATTTCATAAAGGACTAATAAGATAATAAATTAAATCATGAAACATGCATGGATTGTGTCATAACTCCAATTTATTATTATTACATCACCATTTCATCTCGTTCTTCAATTACTTGAGATTGTTCATGACATTTTCAAAAAAACTTTCAACAAAATTAAGGGATGAGCCACCCTCCTCTAATGCCTTCATGCTCTTTTCTTTAATTTCTTTAGCTTTTGTCCTTATAGAATTGGAAGTATAGTGGTCCATAAGACTTGTGATTCCAAATTCTATCTCTTTTGCATTCACTATTTCTGGAGGATCTTTTGAATCTATTTTGTAATCCATCTTAATTTCCACGGCCATTCCTATCTCTCTTACCAATAGGAACGCATTTCCATGTTGATCTACACACATTGGCCAGGTTGCCATTGGAACTCCGAACCAAATACTCTCCAAAATTGAATTCCATCCGCAATGAGACACGAAGCCCCCGACAGAAGGGTGAGCTAGAACTAGACTTTGTGGTGCCCATCCTATAACTTTTCCAATGCTTTGAGTTCTTTCCAAGAATCCTTCCGGCAGGACCTCTTCCGGATTGGTATACTCTGTGAGGGCTAGTGAACCTGGACAGGGTGGCTTCCTCAAAGCCCATAAGAACCTTTGCCCACTACGTTCAAGTGCGTAAGCTATCTCCTTCACTTGAGGCTCCGGAAAAGTTCCGCCGCTCCCAAAGCAAAGGAATACAACTGACGAAGCTGGTTGGTCATCCAACCATTTCATCAAGATTTGCTTCTCCGATTCTCGATTCTTATCGTAACGCCCGGTTAGGTTTAAAATGGGCCCGATAGGGTACACAGGTGGGACACTCTTGTCTTTAGAGAGAGATTCAAGTGCATGGCGTTCTAGTTCGAAGAAGGTGTTGACAATGACGCCTTTGGCCTGTCGGAGTCGTCTGGCACCGTCCAAGATTCCGTCGGCGTTGTCCATTAAACCGTCGGGCAGTAAGTTCACCGGAAAGGGTTTGGAATATGTAGAGATGTTTAGATGATGAGGGTCGGAATCCTCAAACTCCAAGGCATGTTTTCCATGGCGGTCGTTGAGGGTCTGGAGATGGAGGTAAAGGCCGAGCATAGCAGCACCCGAAGGGTAGAACACGTAGGAGGGGACCCCAAACTCGTCAGCCACATCCATCATGGTGATAAAACAAATGTCCACAACAAATCCCGCTAGCCGCCTATGATGGATGATTTGATCATTAACGAATTCTCTGACTTTAGTCTTCTGAGAATCCAAGAAAGCACGGAAGATGGAAGCCATGTCGGTGTGGCCCTTCTTCAAAGCATCCGCCGCCTCCTCCTCAGGGAGTGGTGGTATGAGCTTCAGTCTCGAGTTATCCTTCTCGTCGTCGGCAAGCAGAGAATCGATGTAAGAATTAATCTTGGAATCTGTGGCAAAAGGCAGTTTCATGATCAACACAGTGACGGAGAGCTGAGGCCGTGTTTGCAGGAGGAGCTTGGCTGTTCCGACTGCAGGAACAAGGTGACCCATTCCAGGGGCTGGAATGAAAACCAGCTCAATAGCATCTTCCATTGGTGACACTTGGAGAGGACTATGGAGCTGGATGGGCAGGTGAGAGAATTCAATATTAGAGAGAGAGAGAGTATTACGGGCTTTGAGTATATATGGACCACCAAACTCCTCTGCTATTTATAAGTAAATTTGCACTTATATATATATATATATATATATATAAGGGATCGGGTGCATTTAAGGCTTCTTGTGCAGTTGTGCGGGTGGACACACGGTAAGCATTAATCACGTACTTAAAGTACACAACACACACATTAAGCACACAAACAAAACACCTTCAGAACACAACCCCACCCATGTTAAGCCGTTAAGGACAAGCCTCACGCATGTTAAGTACAAGTTTCATGCATGTTAAGCACAAGCCTCACGCATGTTAAGCACAAAAACACACGCACCTTAAGTTTTAAAAACAACTCATATTAAGTACACATTCACGCACATTAAGTACAAAACTCACGCACATTAAGCACAAAACGCACGCACATTACGCACAAGACTCACGCACATTAAATCCAAAAACTCACGCACATTAAACATTATACACTCACACACATTAAGCACAAATCTCACACACATTAAACACAAGACTCACGCACATTAAGTACAAAACTCGCGCACATTAATCACCCGCACAACCGCACGGGAAACATTTAAATGTACATGAACCTGAACACACACACACACACACACACACACACACACACACACACACACACACACACACACACACACACACACACATATATATATATATATATATATATATATATATATATATATATATATATATTTTTTTTTTTTTTTTTTTGTTTCCAAACTTAACTCATGTGACCAACTGAGCAGCCAATGCGGGCTATATATATATATATATATATATATATATATATATATATATATATATATATATATATTGAATTTTCAAACGGTTCGGAAAAAAAAATTAATACCATCCTACCCGATTAAAACATACATGTTATACCCTGCACCACGGCGCACATAGCACTATGCGCCCTGCGCGCCAAAACGACGTCGTTTTGGTAAGTTATGTAGGGAGTTGACGCGATTATGTACATTATGGTATACAATTATGTACATTTCTTTATACAATTATGTACATTTTTTTTATACAATTATGTACATCCGAAACAAGAAATTTATGTGTATTATGTTAAGAGTTTATGTGTATTATGTATTATGTTAGAATATGTGTATTATCTTTTCAAAAAAAGTATGTGTATTTTGTTATACAATTATGTACATTTTAGTATACAAATTTTAGTATATAATTATGTACATTTTTAACATGAAATATTTTTTTAAAGAAAATTAACAACCGACACAGGATAGCGAAATTTCAAAAAAAAAAAAAATCCGAAATGACGTCGTTTTGCACCAGGACGCACACTGCAATGCGCGCCCTAGTGCACGATATAAATTGCCCCTGATAAGAATACAAATACGGATCGAGTTTAGGTACTCATATTTGGATACCGATTTTGCTATTGATTTTGGATTTCGGGTCGATCGAATTGTTTTGGATCCTGCTCAACCCTATACTAGTTGTACTCGTGCTAACTAAAAGAATGAAATTATGCTCTGAAGGATGATCAAGCAGGTATAGTATTGTGTATACTAGTTGCGGGAAAAATTAAAGTATGTTTAAAGTAAGTTTTAATTGGTTGCAAGGTTAACTGGATTGATTCGACCAATCAGCTTAAAAACTTTTTTCTACGGTAATGTGGCGTTTGAATTCCACTGAGAGTGGAATTTGGGGAGATATTGGGAAATGTACTTTGGCCGATCACAGGAGATGAAGACTTCTTGTGCATAGTGTATACAAACGGGGTTGGAACACAATGATTGACGAGGCTCATAATTTTCTTTCTCTAACAACTTTATGGACTTGTGATTAATTAGTCTAGCGTAATTTGAATACCTAATGTATTAAAAAAACAAAGAAGTAAATTTTATGTGAGGTTTCCTATCCAATAGTCCAATGCTCTAAGACTTTCAAATGTATTTATTTTATTGTTGTAGGTGTGATTCACGCCCAATTGAATTTTTTAAATTTATTTACATCTTGACTGATTTTTGAATGTATATATTATTCATTTATTATTTCACAATGCGCAGATCTTGTATTCGTGTGTGTAAATGTGTAATACAATAATATATTGATCACTAAATAAACTAGCAGTATAGTATAGTAGCTTTCAAAAATCTAGCAGTATAGTATTATTGTATGATTCACGTGCAATTTTTTAATGCATATTATTCATTTATTATTACCCAATATGCGGATCGGTGTGTGTAATAAACTAGCAGTATAGTATTATTGTATCTATGATTCACATGCAATTGAGTGTTTAAAATTTCTTTATATCAGGACTATTTTTGAATGTGTTATAAATATTGTAATTATGGACATTATATTGTAACGTTTGTAACAGAAGCTTGTAATTATTACCATTATGTCATTCTTTATTATCTTGTAAATATATATACTCTTGTAGTAGAAAGAGTGCCTAGTGAATAAAATATGATTCTCCCTACATCTTTGTCTAGTACTTTTCACTTTTTCTCTCATCTTCTATCCTGCAAATGATTCATCGATTAGGAGCTAATGGCCAACTGGCATCTCGCTTACAACACGTTATCAGCCGCTCAATCCCGGTGAATGGTATGTTCATATTTGAATAATTATATTCTGGAAATTTCATGCATAATTCTATTCTGGAAATTCAGTCAATCTATTTGATGTTTGTATGCTTTCGAATATTGTTTGATATGCGATGTGTTTATATCCTATGTATATTTGTTTATGCCATATGATTATACACGTGTGTTTTCTGAAGTTTTTGTATACACTTTCTGGGTATATATTTTTTCGCACGAATATATACATGATTTCCGAGTGATTAATTCACCCAGCTCAGGATCAAGAAAAAACCCAAACCAAATCTTAAATAAAGATTGGTTTCATACCGATCTATCTTCCGACGGCAGCGGTTCTGTGCGATCGGCGATCCGGCGGCGCGACCCTCCGGCAGAGGGCGGCGGTGTCTCTAGCTCTGTGTCCCCAACATTCGCGATCGCTTCCTTTTTTTTTTTTTTGTTTACCTAGCCGTGCATCTTGGCGGCGGCGTAGGCCAAGGTCCTTGACAGCTCCATCGAAAAAAAAAAGGCTCATCGATCTCCACCAAAAGCTTCAATGGCAGAAATAACAAATCAAATATCTTAAAGGGAAATCCCTCTGGTCTGGAAGACCCCCGTGGATGTGTGACGCCCGGATGTGCGACACCTGGTCTCATTGTCGCCGTTCTCTCGCCCTCTGGTCTCATTTTTTTTTCTTACGCAGCACCTTCGGTCTTGGTCTACTGACTGCTGCGCCTCTGGTTGCCTTTTGTTTTGAAAAGAGGGTTCTTTTTTTTTTTTTTTTTTTTTTTTTTTTTTTTTACATAATTGGACCCTAGCTTTTGGATTTTCTTTAACCAAACAAAGCTTTTGGACCTCTTCGGCCGAGTTCATTTTTTTAAAAAAATGTTAAATAAATTTATATTTATATAATAATTATAATATGTGTTTTGGGTTAGTTTTGGGTCCCTTTTTAATATATTATTATATTTTGGGCCTATGATGATTTAATCCTGATATACATATAACATATACATGTTTTATTTGGGTCTGATTTATATGTATACATAGATTTGGGCTAGCAATTTGATTTCTTTAAAAAGCATTGAGAACTATATTGCTTTCAAATTGCCATTCAATTATTATTGAATATGCTCAGACTTTAAATTGCTATTTTGTGTAATTTATTTTTGGATAATATGATGACTTCATATGCATATTCTGTCTTATTAGCATAATATAAAGTTTTATTATTATGCGAATTATTCTTTAGAGGTGGACCTTCGTTTTTAGCCAGCCTTAGTATATATACTTTTTTTTTTTGAAAAATCTCGATTTTGGCTGCTATCATCAAGTGTGAATTCACCGAGCTTGGTTTCAACGGGAGAAATTACTTATGAGTCCACAAGCGATGAGTCTTTGAAAGCTAAAAGACCTAATTTTTCCTCGCCACCATCTGAACCATGACCTGAAAAATGAATACCTTTCTGAAAAGGGACCCATATGCCCTATAGAAATCCCTGGAGGATAGTTTTAACTAGCAAATATTCCTAGTCCTTCCTTAGACACAATTTGACTCACTTAACTTGAGATTTCAAGATTTTAAAGTCAGTGACTGATTATAATTTGGCTTTTCACAAAATTGTGTCCCAATCTAACTTTGCACCAGTGCCCGAAGCACACAATGTTGCTCAGTCATGCAACGCCAGGAGGGGCCAAAGAAGAGATCGCGATAGGAATCAAGACAAAGGTGGCAACAATAACTCCCGAAATCATAATACACAACAAAATGATCAAAACTCGTCGAGGACAACCACTTTCATACAATTAGAACTCTGGCCCAACATCAAGTATGCTTCAAGTGTGGGTGTATACACTGCTGGAAATCACAGGATTTCCGACCATGGTGGTCGGAAAAGCCCAAAATTCAGTCGAAAACACCCTTTCCGACCACTTTTCCGTCCAGAATGGGTATCCGGAAAATCCATCGTCGGTAACTCTGACCACCGGCAAAAGTGGTCGAAAATTCCGACCATCTTTGTTGACCGTCGGAAAAAACCGTCCAACCACGACATGGCTGGTCCGGAATTTTCGACCACCACGTGGTCGGAAATTCCGGACCAACCATCTTGTGGTGTTTATTTTTCCGACCACTTGCTGGTCGGAAAATCCAAATATATAATTTTTTTAAAAAAAAAAAAATTCTATTTTGATATGCACTTTCTTACAAATTATACATTGCTTTAACAATTTTAAAACAAGTAATAATTGCATAACAATACAATATCACTTCAATGATTATACATTTCAATAGCAAATTTAGTTACACATAATATTCTAATTCTAATATCCACCTCCATAAAAACTAGTTTCCAATTCTAAAATTCAACTTTACAAATCAAAATACTTCTTACATCACATGTAGCATCACAAAAAGTGTTAGTATCTTTATTCTATTCCGCTTGCGTAGGAGATTGTGTCATCATTGAAACCAAAGTCATCTAGCTCAACGCCACTACTTTCATGGCTGTCGACTCTCTGCAAATTAGGATCAATAGATTGGAAACAGTTAATACATATACAGTTACAAATAATATAAAAATGTGAAGGCAGGACCATAAAAGTTCATGCCTGTGCCACGGAATGAATCAAGGACATGAATTTTTCCATCTGGAGTTGTCAAAAGCATAAGTTTGCCATCACTACTGAACTTGACAACATTTGCATTTGATACATCTCCACCAACTGAAAATATTTCGAATGGGTCCTTCAAGGATGCAACTTTTGACAAATTAATGAATGCTAAGAGTTCAGGTTCAGAAGCAAAATAATGTACTGAAAAATGTGACTCATTTTCGGGTTTAGTTGCAAACCTTTTCATACTTGCATGCATCAAACATTCTTATGTATCCACCAAAAGCAATTGCAAAAACAAACCCTTGCTCATCATAAGCAATAGCTGGTCTTCCTTGTGTACGTAGAAAGCCCTAAGAACAGAGAGTACATCATTTATAAGTTTCAATGTGAAAGAAGCATGGATAAGCGCTTGCTTAGTTTTTACCTGGCATTTTTCAGCTCTTTGGTCCCAGAGCATAACAGTTTGATCAAGTGAGCCAGAAATAAAGCACTCCTTTTTGGAGCACATACTAAGTGAGGCAACCCTGCAAGTCAAAGATAGAGCATCCCAATTATGGTGCTTGTGTTATGGGGAGTATGTTGAAGGTTGATATACATTAATAGTTTCGTAATATTGTACCTGTCATGATGACCCTTGAAATACCGCAAATATTTGTTATCATGCAACGAGAGAAGCCGCAGAGATTCTGAAACCATTCTAAAATGAAGTGACTATTGGTTTTCTACAACTTGTATACTAAGGCAGTAAGCATTATTCTCAAACAGGGATACTAATTATCCCATTGCATTCAAGTAATAATTAACAAAATGTGATGAAATTAACAAGGATTAACTACACAGTGCTTGGATTCAGGATTATTCACAAGGATTAACTAAGGCAGTAAGCATTATTCTCAAGGATTAACTACACAGTGCTTGAAATTAACAAGGATTAACTAAGGCAGTTAGCACTATTCTCAAACAGGGATACTAATTATCTCATATGATAATAAGAGCTAATTAGAGCTAATTATATATGTTCATTACAGCAAAAAATTGTCAAATTTACTCCTAATTAGTGCTCATATTTAACTTAAATCTTATCAAATGATGTGAATCAAAAGCATATTAGTTGAAGTTAGTTAAAAAAAAAAACGGTGTTAGCAGACAACTAAAAAAAAAACAAAAAAAAAAAACATAAAACTAATTAAGAAACCACTTTCAGAACTATATGGTCACTGAGATAGTCATTAACCAAAACTCAAGAGGAACATCTGGAACCACAAGTCCTGAAAGAAATGCATTTACAATATTCATAAAGCAGCACTACAGGTTCATAATTAATGTTAAAATTCGGTGAAAAATGAAACTAGAAGAATCATAAAAGGTCATGATACTTTTGTTACAACTCCACGCTTAAGTATATGGTTATAATAGGGGGAAGGAGCATGAATAACTACAAATTTTAAAACCCTAACTTTCAGAAGCACACAGAAATTAGGAAGGAAGGAACATGAATAACTTACTTCAATGGCGTTGTAGAGTGATGGCGGAATGAGGAGCGTCGATGCGTCGTCGAGTGGGTAGAGGCGGTAGAGTGATTTGTGAAATTTGTGAGGCAGGGAGGAGGAGGGAATGGCGCTGGCAGAGTGTAAATTGGAGAATGCCGAAGGGTATACACTAGCAGTAAGGTAAGGCGCCATAAATTTGGGCGAAAATTTTTAGAATGGCGCTAAAAAGTGAGATTCTTATTTTTTTTTCTTTCTTATTATTATTATTATTATATATAGGAAAAAGTGTCAAATTAGTCCTCTAAGACGAGTGGATAATGCAATTGGATCTCCTAAGTGAAAAAAACTTCATTCAGGTTCTATAAACCTGTAAATTGTTCAATTAAGTTCAAGTCGACTTGTTTATCCGGTTAAATGCATATAGTGTTGACACGTGTCCTTATTTTTATTTTTTTTATTAAAAATATTATTTATTATAAATTAATTATAATAATAATAATAATAATTAAAAAGAATTTATCTTTTAAAAAAAAGGGTCATGGCCAACGAAAGAAAACGGTCATGGCTTCTAGCAACAACTTGGTAAAAACATGAAGGCTACAAGTAAAAGAAATTAGATAAAAAAAATATAGCAATCGTGACTTTTCGTCCCAATTAATTTAGAAGATGTAGAATCAACACATGTAGCCAAACTGTAGCTCGCCTTGGGCATAAGAAAACGTCCATTATGTTCAACCAACTCAAGTTGTAGCCTATTACATACATCCTTCATATCGAGATGTGCATTAGGCGTGTCTTTGTTTTTTTATGTGCCTTTGACATCCATAATTGTGTGAAAAATGTTATCAAACACATTTTTCTCTATATACATCACATCAAGGTTATGACGTAGCAAGTTATCATTTCAATAAGGTAAATCCTAAAATATTCCCCCTTTTTTCCAATTGTGTGACTGTCAAACCCCTCAATGCGATCAATTGGACCATCAATAACCCTTGGGATATTTTCCAAACAATGAAACAACTCATCCCCTGTCCTAATCGGTGGAGGTATTGATTTATCTACCCGTCATTTGACGAAAGTATCTCGATTCTTCTTCCAAGAGTGATTCATTGGAAGGAATTGACGGTGACACTCAAACCAACATGTTTTATGACCATTATTCAAGTAAAATGATTTAGAATACTGAAGACAATAAGGATATGAAAATTTTTCGACTGTCTGCCATCCAGATAACATAGTAAAAAATTTCCTGCAAAAAGAAAAAAAAATAATCCAAAGGTGTAAATATTCAAACTAGCTTGATCTAATAAAAATGGGATATAAAAAAGTTCTAAGAATATATACACATATATTAGCTTGATTTCTACACTATTGTGAGGTTTAGTGAAAAATCTCTTCGAAAAATGAAGAAATCTATAGAAATGAGTAAAAAAAAACTAGAAGAAGAGAAAGCAAACTATCGGAGGTATGTATAAAAAGTAATTTCCGACCACCAGAAGTGGTCGGAAATAAAAGCTAATTTCTATAAAATGAAAAAGCAAATATTTCCGACCACTTTTAAAAAGGTGACGGAACTTTCCAACACATACAACAGTGGACGGGACTTTCCGACCACCCAATTGGTCGCTAAAACACGCCGACGCACACCCACAAAAAAATCGCTAACGTTTCCGACCACGTTTTACACATAGTCGGAAACTTCCGTCAACTTATAGAAGTGGACGGAGATTTCCGTCCACGTATTGAAGTTGACGGAAATTTCCGTCCACTTTTCCGACGACTTTGCCGCTTGACGAAAAAGGAAAAAAATTTGCCTTTTTGCGTCCAAAATATTTGGTGGTCGGAAAAGTGGTCGGAAAATGACTGATTTCCAGTAGTGATAGAGTATTGATCAAGTACGTGCCACACCTAAAAAGACGAATATGATATAGTATCTTATGGATAATGCCTAATTTTCAAGTTATCCTATGAACTTCGTCCTTTTTTTTTTTTACGATTATTATATGACATTAAGCATTAAGGCGGAGCACCAAGTACCTTATGCTCATACCTAAATGGCTTAGCTAATTAATAAAGTTATGACTTATAACTAAACCATTATTTAAAAAAAAAAAAATTCAATGTGCCGGATACTTGGTGGGGAAATGCAATATTTATGCAAAATATTTCGGCACACTGCATATCCTTATTCCCCCTTACATCTAATACGTGGTTTTCAAACAAACATTTCCCAAATCTGCGTTTCTATTCGTATGAATGCAGTCCATCTTAATGACGCTGACTGCGTGAAGATCGGTTCACGGCATTAGGGGGAGATATGATAAAAATTGAAATAGAATGTCGAGAAATTTCGTGAAATGAAATGATCTTCAAAAATTAAATCCACGTATCAATTCGATTGAACTTGAAGTTCAGAAAGAAATCTGCCAAATAAATCTATTTCATAAAAAGAGTGACTAGGTCCCATACACATTCCCCAAAATTGGACCATATATATCTATCGATACTCCTTGACGCCAGAAGTGCGGGAGATTCATTGGGATAGAAAAATAAAGAATCAACAAACAACTAGATCTAGTAAAGTTTTTTTTGTCACTCTTGAAAACCCTTAGAGCTCTTGAAATATTAAAAAGTTATATCTTTAAGACGATCGTCCAAGACAACGAGAAAAACCCAATAAAATTATAGGTGCACCAAATATTCATAATACTGGGTTGCGGAACAACCAGATATAAATATCCGGGAAATGGCTATAATCTGGTTAACTTTGAAAATTACTTTTATATATGGGAGAAATTATTGAAAAATGTTTTAAGTTGTCGACAACACAATTGCCTTCAAAATTGCTCATATTATATGACAATCTGGATCCAGAGCTAGGTGCCAGAAGCGCCTAGATTGATTAACGTATAAAGAGAGCAATTGAAGGCATAGCTCGACTCGCTAAAATAGATATATTATGAAGCGAGTTTGTAGCTTATGGGTTCACGCAGAGACCCTTTTCAAATATACTCTCCCACGGTAAATGGCATTAAGTTCCGCTACATAATACAATTGGCAGAATAATAAATTTAGATATGCAGTTAAATTTATCTTGAAAAATCCCTAATGGATTTATAATTCCCGAAATGAGAATTTATTTAAGTATTATTAGGTGCCATTATTTACTCTTTAAAGAGTTGCGAATGGGGTTATTATCCTCATATAGAAGGAATAATATGTACCGTTATGTGCTCAATAAAGAGTTGATAATGGACTTATTTATTATCTCAGTCAGTATTTATGGTGTAAACATCAATGAAATATATAAAGAGCTTAATGATGTTAAGTTATGAGATGAGATAACGAATAGCAAACCAAGGTACAAATACTCATATTGATGTTTTTCGGCATGAAGTCATCATATTGGTTACAGATAAAAACGTATATAGTTTTTTCATGATATAAAATACCTTGATCCACATGAACTCCAGAAAAGTAATAAAATATTTGTTCAGAAGGTTTGCTCCAGTGACAAGTTAGCAAATGTATACCTACAAAATATCCATAAGGTTGATAAGTGTAGGTAAAGAAAAGTTATTATATTTAGGGGGACCAACAAAATATAAACTATAAATATTTTCATTGGTCCAGATGATCATGAGAGAATATGATAAATTCTAATGACAATCATGAAGATTGTACTATATCCCCTCTCTACACTCTACTGGAAAAATGACTTTACTTTAAGCTATTTAGAACTTGAAGATTGTTATTTTCAGGGGGAGACGAAAAGTACATTCACTCGAGTCAATCATGTAGATTGGTCAATCCTGTAGATTGGGTCTTAAAAGGACTAATAGTTATACTTTTTGCAGCATAAACATACCATGTACTCTTTTCCTCACTAGGTTTTTCTCAATGGGTTTTCTAGTGTGGTTTTTAACGAGTTATGAGTATGATATATTAAAGGGGGGAGCTATATATAAATACTTAAAGAGACAAACCCCAAAATCCGGAAGATTATGCTTTGAAGGCTTATGGTTGTACTCTTTTTCCCTTAACTAAGTTTTTCCCACGAGGTTTTCTTAAGTTAAGGTTTTTAACGAGGCAATCAGTATGATATATGAATTTACAAATATGATGTACTCTTTTCTTCAACTAGGTTTTTCCCACGTGGTTTTCCTAGTGAAGTTTTTAACGAGGCAAGATCATGGATAAATAATGTCCAAGGGGGAGTGTTATAAA